ATCACCTCCTCTGCTATCACCTTCTCCAACTCCTCCATCACTTCCTCCACCATCACCACCTCTACCTCCACCATCATTTCCTTCACCTCCTCCATTATCTCCTCCACCTCCATCACCACCTCCACCATCACCAACTCTACCTCTACCATCACCACCTTCACCATCTCCTCCATCATCTCTGCCATCTTCTACCATCACCTCCTCTACCATCACCACTTCTACTTCCATGTCACCACCTTCACCTCTTCCATCACTTCCTCCATCACCACCTCCTCCATCACCATCTCCACCATCTCCACCATCACCTCCACAATTCTACCACTACTTCCACCATCATCCCCAACTTCACTACCTCCACCACCACCAACACCACCACCATCTCCACTATATCACCTCCACCACTACGATCACTACCACCAACACAGTAGATAATAACTAACTTTTACACAGTACTCGTTGGCTTAAAGGGAACCTTCCTGTATACACATATGTTCAATGTTTTTTCAGGCTTGCTAGATGATCAGTAGTTTAGTTTTGAATTCCTTTTTTTTTTTAATTGCTTTTTAAAGTAAGTCAGAGCAAAGATGCTTAAGCCTCTTAAATAAGTGCAAAAAGTGACATATATCTCAATACTGGAATTATCAAGATCCCTGTCATTAAACATCTAGAAACAGGCTAGATTTTATTTTTCAGTTATTATGTGTGCCTGGCATGATTATGTACCATTGGAACTATGCCAACAGAAACACTCCCACATTCAAAAGCCTTCTGAGTGATTCTACTGGGCAAGAGAGAAAAGTTACATAACAATTCAGTCAACTTCAGAATTGTTTTTGTAATTGTAATCTCAACTGGCTATCCCAGAGTGCCAGCGATGTGGTTACCAGAGGAGATCATAATCGCAGAATGAATGAACCAGGAGAATTGGGTGTCACTACTTCAGAGTAACTGGTACAAATTAGATTTTCTGCTGAATGTGTTGACTCTAGGGACTCAACATTCAGCTTCCCAGCTTCCTCTGTTCATGCTCGTCTACAACAGGGGCAACACTGAAGGCAGGAAAAACAGTGAATAAGAATAATAAGGTATGTTCTGTGTAATGAGTGTAGGCGTGAGGCTGAGACATTCCCTGGGAGGTGTATACGTGGAGGGCAGAGTGCTGACCCTGGGGCTGTGCATCAGGAACATCTTGTTTACTGTGCTTTTCTCTCTTGCAGTCATGCAGAGCTACCATGGAAAACACTGCCTTGGGGGTAAACGCATTTACCATTAAAAAATGTATTTTAAATGGCCTGGGACTGGAAAACATCTTAATAAATCATCCAATTTTTTTTCTCTTCTGCTTCCCTGTAGGTCTATACCTAAATAATATCTGAGAAACTCAAACTTTTAAGATCCTCTTGATGAGAAGGTCTCAGTGTCTGTTCAGGATTATGGCCTTCACACTTCCCAGTTTCATGAATAGCCTCATCTGGCTATGTTCTGTTAAAACCCTGTTCCTCGTGGTCTATTTTCATGAGAGACCCATCTGCACTTCCACGTGGCAGAGAAGGCAGTGGAATCCCTATTAGAGAGCCTGTTGGCTCTGGCAGCTCGGCTTTCAAGGCATAACCCCCCTACACCAATACCCCCAAGTCCTGCTTCTTGGAGGAAGGGAAAAACCGGGGCGGGGGAAGTGTATGGAAAGCAAGGAAGGGATGATGAATGGGAACAAGGAGAGTGTAGAGAACAGAAAGGAGTTAGGGGCAAGGCTGGTTATTAGAAAGGCTGGGCAACGCATATTGGATGGGTGGCAATGGGTACCGATTTTGGCCTTGCTGGAGTCACAGTTGATGAGGAAGGAGAGACAAGGGGTATGATTGGGGTAGTGAGGGATGGAGGGCATAAGACCTCAATGCATCCATACAGAAATTGTGATTATTGGTTCTCATGAATCCCTTTGGGAGTCTGTCATGATAAAAGATGGGTTTCATGTCAAGAAGAGAAAATGTCTCAGCAGGAGTTCTGTGGGCCCTGGAATCCTTTTTGTTGTTGTTGTTGTTGTTCTTTCCCCCTCACTTCCCCTTCTTTTCTCATCCATTTTCCCTTCCTTCTATTCATGATGGCCAAGCTTGGCTACATCGCACCCACCATCTTGAATCCTCCCCACTCCAGATTATGGCAGCTAAGAAGAGCTCTAGCGTGACTCCTCTTTCTAATTTGAGGGAACATTATGAGCGGAGCAAGCAAGAAGGAAAGGGGGAGGTGAGAGATGAAAGACAGATTAAAGTGTGCGTAGAGAACATTTTCCCTTAGTTATTTTCAGGTATGAGATACTCCGCTTTTATTCCTCTGGCTTAATCTCCCTGCCCCCAATTCCTGAGACTCCTTGCTGTCAAGCTCTCAAGTGAGCTGCTAGCTGCTCAGTCCCGCTGAGCTGCTGAGCGTGGCTTGAAGTCTCATGTCCCAGCCCTCGGCCCTGTCCCAGATCACGTCACCAGCTCTGAGGAGGAGAGGCACACGGTCACGCTCACCTGTCATGGTGTCTTTCCTGGAAGTGTGTTCTCCTGTAGTTCCGTGGTAAGTGGCATTGCTGCCAGTGGATTCATAGTCTGTTTTCCTTTCTTTGAGGCTGATCATTTCCCGAGGTGAAGCTGGGGCACTTGCTACATAAAGAAATGAAAAGGAAGACCTTCTGTGTCTCATTCCACAGCCGGGATAGCTTTCCGCACAAAGAGCTGAGGTCACGAAGACACATGGCTCAACCTGTACCAGTGTGTGTACACGGACCTGCTGGTTCTTTGTTCTTTGGGCTCTTGTCTTTACCCCTTCCCGAACTCCTTGTCATTCGGTGCTTTGCAGTGAAGGGGGCACTCAGCTTGGGGGCTGGTAATTAAAGACTATCTCCTGGGGCCATCTTTCTTAGAAAGGTATTCTGATGGGGATATGACCCACCGAAGGTGTACGGGACAGTTTTAAGAATGAGATCAGACTTGTTTTCTTTATTTCTCTTTCTCTTCTCTTCTCTTCTCTTTTCTTTCCCTTTCCCTCCCTTCCACTCTCCCCCCTCTCCCCTTGCTTCTTTTCTTCCTTTGTTCCTTTGTAAAAATCAGATGTGTTTCAGAGGAGCTGTTACTGATTTTGGAGAATCCCTGATTAAAATAAATGCAGTCTTGCTTGAATACTGAGTGACCCAGAAACTGTCCTAAAGGAAGCCAGATGAACACCTAGGATGTTTTGTGGGGCTGAAGTCACCCAGCCCGCAAAGTTCAGCCCATGGCGTGGGCTGGGCAGGGCATGCAAAGAGCTCACTCCCCAATGAGCTGTCCCTGATGAATGTCCCCATCAATCTCTCCCCGACACCTAGCATCCTGGCCACTTGCTGCCTATTGGACCCGGGGAGGGAGCCCCATCTTCTCTTTAGGTCCCTATCATTAAGTTTAGTATCTTCTATGAGCAAATCCCTATGCTAGACACTGGGGAAAAGAAACATGAATCATGTCACTTTCTGAACTTGTGGAGGACAGGAAATGGACATGCAAATAAACAGAAGCGGGGTGGGGGTGGGATGGACAGTAGTACACATTGTAGCCACGCGCTGGCACGAGGGAGCCTTTACCCATCCTTTCCTGAGAGGCAGCCTGCCGACTTCTCACACCTACTCAAACAAAATCCAGGCTCGCCATTCAGCTATCAAAACCCCGAGAGGTTCCCAAACCTGGCTTCCCGCTACAATTAAATCCTTGGAATACTTTAAAAAATACTGATACTTGAGCCCCACCCAGAACCAGATGGATCAGAAGCTCAGGGTGTAAGTCTACTGGGAAGACAGAGAAGAAAAGGGCATTTGCTCCACATAACTGGACTGGGTTATGTGTCCAGTTCACACGTGTTCTCAGCACGTGGGCCGCTGGCTCTCGCTCACCGCGTCCAGCCTCTACCACTCTCTCTCCTCTCATCCGTTCTCTGTCACCCTCTCCTGGGAGAGTCCTTTCCCCCTTGCTCCTTTGCTTCTATGCCCTTTTGCGTAAAGCTTAGCCTTTTACAAGTCGCTGCCAGGCAACCACGAAGGGACAATATTTTGGAGCCTCTTGACCAAAGCTTTCAAAATTAGCATCTAATAGTGTGCAGATGGTGGGGTTTATTAAAGTATGTCAAGTGTGTAATTATCTTTCAAGACCTCACACACAGTGGTCTGAATCCCGGTAAACTAAGATTACACTCCTGGAAAAAAATCAAATCACGCAAACAAGTGTTCACTTGTGTCTTCGATGTGCCTCAGGAGGAAGTAGCAGGCATTGCCCTCGTGGAATGGCTGGGGTAGCTCTTGGAACTCTGCCCCTTCTCCTTCCAGCACCTTCTGATCTACTGCGTCATTTCATCTAACACTGATGTGTCGTAATAATTAGGGGTTTTAAAAAGACACCATCTTCGTACTTCCCACACTCACTATTTTTTATCTTTTTAAAAATTTTATTTTATTTATTTATTTGACACAGAGAGAGAGATCACAAGTAGGCAGAGAGGCAGGCAGGGAGAGAGAGGAGGAAGCAGGCTCCCCACCGAGCAGAGAGCCCGATGTGGGTCTCGATCCCAGGACCCTGAGATCATGACCTGAGGTGAAGGGAGAGGCTTAACCCACTAAGCCACCGAGGTGCCCCTATCTTTTTAAGATGTATGGGGGTAAGAAACATGAAAGGTCACCCCTGTGCTTCCAAAGGTGGAAATTCTTCGTCTCACGGTGGTGTCCGGTTCTTGTCTAGTGCAGAATGGAACGTTAGAAGCCATTACACCACACTAGAAACAGAAGCTTTCTTGAGGCTGGGAGAGAGTCATTTATTTCAGTCAAATGTTCCCTATTCATGTCTGGTTTTTGTCATCATCCTGACAGTTAAGTGTGGTGTAAAGTTCAATGACCAGTGATCTCAAGGGTGGACGGGCACTCTCCTGCCATGCCCTCTGGGACCGGTTCCCCAGCAGACAGAGGGCAGCGAAGAGCAAGGAGAAACTCTTCTTAAGTAAAAACCTAGATAGTGGTGTGTGCATACACACGTGTGTGCGCACACGTGTGCACATGTATGTGCATACACATGCACACACACACCCATCTAGGTATTTATATATTTATTCAGCTTTCCTTCTCACAACAAAACTCCAAGTGCAGAAATCAAAAGCTCGGTTTTTAGACTTATACTTGGAATAAAAACAGTGGAGACTATGCCACTTATATATTAAATGATGGGCTCCTACTTGGCCCTTAATTTTTTCCTTCATCTTAGGCATTATCCAATGTGACTGAAAAGGGTATAAAAATGAAGTATTTTTATAAGTAAATAAGAGCAGTTAGTTGAAAATTCAAGCAATAGAAACAGGACAAAGTTAGAAAAATATTCAACTGAGTGACTTAATAGTTCTGGGTGGTTGTGATAAGACTTTATCAATGATTTATTGGCTGGTTTAAAGGTAATAATAGCAGGCTAATCAGGTTTGGAGTAGTAACGAAACCCTCAATGGGATATTTCAAATGTATGTCATTTTATAGCTAGAAAAGCGTCCCTTTCTCCCTCACTCTGTTATTCTAATTGCAATCAATACAATGCAACTCAAACTATTTTAAATTGGAAAGTGTGCACAGAAAACCCTGATTTGCAAACATCTAACAGCTATCTTTATTCTTGTTGTTTGATGAATGCAGGCGCATGACATACATTTCATGTGTATAACACCTATTAGAGATCTTTAGAAATCTGTTAGATGTGTTGTGAGTCTGTGTAAACACAACACAAAGTTACCACTCCTAGGAAAGGAAAAGGGACTCATTTGGTGTTTCTAGCCAATGTCCAACTGGGACGGCTCTCCTTCTGTGGGGATCAGCCAGGGCTGGAGGGAGGGCCCTGGCACCAGGGGAAATGAGGACTGGCTGACTCTGGGCGTCTCTTACCTGAGCGGTTGTTGGGAGACACTCGCACAGGGGAGATGGAGGGTGTGCGGGAGGAGGAGTAGGGCCGTTGCCGATCTCTCTCGATGGTCGACGATGAGGCTACGAAGTGATACTGTGACCATCCGTCCTGCAATAGACCGCATATGCCCATTAAGCGGGGAAGGTAGAGTGATTCTTCATCCCCTGACATTTCGAAGTTCCCAACATCTGATTTTGTAAAACATTTCCACTGTCTGTCAAAAGCTATCATGAGCCTGAGATCGCGGAGGCCTGCTTGATCTTCAAGGTGAGTGGAGAGGAGGGGTGTGAACTGAGACCCACCTCGCTCCCTCTAGACAGTCTGCCACGAGGAAGCCTGCTTTTAAAGGGCTGGCTTTCCTTTCCAGATGCTGAATAAACGGTCTCTTTATTTACATGAAAATACGGTGCTCAGAATATGAGATGACCCTGAAACTGTCTTTTTTTTTTAAATTTTTTATTTTTTACTAACATGAACATATATTTTTATCCCCAGGGGTACAGGTCTGTGAATCACCAGGTTTACACACTTCACAGCACTCACCATAGCACATACCCTCCCCAATGTCCATAACCCCACCCCCCTCTCCCAACCCCCTTCCCCCCAGCAACCCTCAATTTGTTTTGTGAGATTAAGAGTCTCCCTTGATTTCTCTCTCCTTCACCCAATAGCCCAATAGGTTTGTCTCCCTCCCAATCCCATCTTGTTTCATTTATTCTTCTCCTACCCCCTTAACCCTCCATGTTGCATCTCCACTTCCTCATATCAGGGAGGTCATATGATAGTTGTCTTTCTCTGATTGACTTCTTTCGCTAAGCATAATACCCTCGTGACGACGTGGATGAAACTGTCTATTCTTTATGGACCCAGTTCCAGCTCTGCCTGGCCATCTTCTCAAGACCGTCACTGTGTACCCACACCCAGAGGGGTATGGTATGTTCTCTGGTTTAATCCAGCAACTGTATTTTTCACTTTAGAGTCCATACAAAATGTGTCTTACCAACTAATCCTCCATTAAGCCTTCTCTTTTATAAAGATTTTTAAAATTTATTCATTAGACATCAGACATTAGACATCAGAGAGTGAGCGAGTGAGTGCACGAGCAGGAGGAAGGGTCAGAGAGAGAGAGAGAGAATCAGACTCCCCACTGAGTGGGGAGCCTGATATGGGACTTGATCCCAGGACCCTGGGATCATGACCTGAGCCAAAGGCAGATGCTTAACTGGCTGAGCCACCCAGGCACCCCTGTATTAAGCCTTCTAATATCCAGTAAATATGCAATAAGACACATATACTGGTTTTCATTTTAAAAACCAAAGACATACATTGTGGAACCTTTCATGAATTTAGAAACCATAAAGAAAAAAAAAAAACTGTCAGTAGTTCCACCCTGCCCCAGAACTCCTGTTAACACACCACAATAACTCCTTCCAGTGTTTTCTCCTCTTTAATTCAATTTATATATATCAAAGTCAGATGTCAAATGGCAGCGACACTACCCCAAGGAAGAGAAGACCCGTCTGTTCCTTCACCCCCCATCCCATTCCTGCGTCACAAAGGCAACCAGTGAACTCTTCGGGCCTTTTTTTTTTTTTTTTTTTTTTTTGGTTATATTTAGACTTTTAAGGGACTCAACGTTCTATTAAAGAATAATTGCAGGCAGAAATAGATGGAAGTTAATGAAGAACAAAATTCATACTCATTTCAGTATTTGTATCTTTGTTTCTCTAATTCTGATTCTTATTCTGTTTGGCTGGTAGAATAAAGCCAAGGTTAGATGTATGCTATTTTAAAGCTATTACTTAGCTCTTAATTGAGAATTTACTACAAGGCAATATTTTCTCAACAATCTCATGGGCTGGATGCTATTAGCATCCCATTTTACTGAGGCTTAGACAGTTAATAGGCCACCTAAAGTCAAACACTAAGCAAGTAAAGAAACAGTGATACTGAAATGTGGCACACTTACAAGTACTTGAGGGTGAACGGATCAAGGAATTCAGGTTGGAAAATACTAGTGTTTTTAGATTATGGGATGTGGCAATGGAATGTGTGTCACTCTGGGATCAATTAGCTTTGCAGCAGAGACCTGGAGGATGACAAGGACCCAGATACCCAAGCCAAGGGAAGAGCAGATGTGAAGGCAGGTGGACACAGGCTACTCCAGATGAGAGCCATCGGAAGTCTCCATGGCTGAGGAGTGACCAAGGGGCACCAAGAAATCGAGAAGCCTTCTGAGTGTCTAGAAGAGTTTGGGGAGAGTAGAATAGAACCAGGGATACCAAATAAGAAGCTATTCCACTGGAGGAGGGAGACACAATCCTGGCTTGGATGGGGGCCGATGATGAGCTATGGGCAGATTTGGCATCTGTGTTGGAGGATTTGCTGATGACTTGGCTATTGGGTGAAGGAGAGAGAAATCAAGTTTTACCCCAGGCTTCTGGTGTGAACCACAGGAGACTGGAGTTGCCATTTACTGAGATAAGGAATACTTGGGAGAGAAATAGCTTTCGGTGGTGAAATCAATACTGCCATTTGGGACAAGATGGGTAGAGATGTCTAATGGACATGAAAGAGAAGATGCAGAATAAAGCAGAATCTGCAAATAGGGATTTCAGGAGCAATGTCAGGGCTGGAGATAACATTTTGGAGTTCAGCATAGAGATGTTATTTAGAACAAGGGGAACGGAAAGAAACATGAATGAAAATAACGGCAAGCACGAGACACCGGGCGAGCCCTGGGACACTCTAATATGTAAGGGGTGTGCAAAAGAAGATTCAGAGGAGCCTGAGAAAGGACAGAGAGAGCTAGAAGGAGGGCCAGGAGGGTGTGAGGTCAGGCAAGACAAGGAAAGCAGATGCATAAAGGAGAAGGAGACCAACTGGATGATAGGCAGGACCAGGAACTGACCACCAGCCTGGGGAACATGTAAGCCATCATGATGGGACAAAAAGTACTTTCTTTGGTCAGGTCGGCATATGTCTAACTCAGGTGGGTTCCAAAGATAATGAAAATTGATGAAAGGAAGAGTAAGATCTGGCCACTTTGACAGAGTTTTATTATTACAGAGAGTGGAGAAATGGGGCTTGGAGAGATTGAGTGACCAAGAGATGTCTTCAGAGATCACCTGGGAGATAGAGCGTTTCATTCACCATTGGGAGTGACTCAACAGACAGGACCAAAGAGCTGGCGATGCCACAGAGGAAGAGAGCAGTTGCAGGAGGGAATTTCAGGGAGGACTGCTTGGAAGATTAGGGAACAAGGGGCTCGTGGACCATGAGAAGACCACGTGGTCTGCTCTTGGACCAGAAGAAGGAGGACAGCTGGGCTGTGTGGCCATAGCCATAGGAAGAACACGGAGATTTGGTAACAGGCAGATGAGGACATTCTCTTGTATTTTCTTGCATGTTCTCCAGGTGGGGTGAGAAGTGAGGTCATCTGCTGAGTGTGAGGAAGATTGGAGCTTAAAGAATAGGAGGGAGGAAGGGGACAGAGAGAGGAAGAAGAAAAGGTATGAAACGGTTCTTGGCGGGGCAAGGTGACCACAGCCTGGGGTCTTACAAAAGCATGTGCAGGATGGGAACCATTTCAAAAGTGTATATGGGGGGTGCCTGAGTGGCTCAGATGGTTAAGCATCTGCTTTCAGCTCAGGTCATGATTCCCAGGTTCTGGGATCGAGCCCCGTGTCTGGCTCCCAGCTCAGTGGGGAATCTGCTTCTCTCTCCTCTCCCTCTGCCTCCCCACCTGCTTATGCTCTCTCTGTCTCTGTTTCTCAAATGAATAAATAAAGTCTTAAAAAAAACAAAACCAAAACCAAAAATGTATATGCAGGGTGCCTGGGTGGCTCAGTCGGTTAAGCGTCTGCCTTCGGCTCAGGTCAAGAGCCCAGGGACCTGGGATTGAGCCCAGCATCAGGCTCCCTGCTCAGTGGGGAGTCTGCTTCGCCCTCTCCCTCTGCTGCTGCTCTCTCTTTCTCTGTCAAATAAATAAATAAAATCTTTTTTTAGAAAGTGTATGTGCATCCATTATTCATATCTGGGAACAATTTGAAAAATTATTTCAACAGGCGTTCCTTTCTTCTGAAGGTAATGCTTAGTTGACCACAAAAAGTCCTTAAATATGACCAACAGAAGTGGATCATGTTAGGTTTGTCTCACAGTTTAGAAGATACACTCTGGGGTTCCAAGCAATGGCTCAGGGAACTGCTTTAATCAAAACCTTGGCTTCTTTAGTCATGAATAAGTCATGACACTCCATATGTCATCAAGGGCAAAGTGTTTTCACGATAAGAACATCAGCTAATATTTCATATGTTCTAAGACCAAACGAGACTCTAGGCATCAATGTGGCATGACTTTAGGTTGGGTTTGGTTTTTCTTGGCGAGACAGCGATGGATGAGTCAGCATCTCTTACACAGATGATGGGAGATGTGTTTCGTTCAGCAGTTCGGATTCCATGATGCTTCGATTACACCAGGACCATGCCAGTACTTCCATCTCTGGAAATGTCAGGAAGGTGGTATAATACTAAAACTGCTTACAAAGGAAGAAACCCTAATAAGATGCACCAAAAATACTCCTTCATAAGACCCTCATAAGAAATCCTTCATAAGACCCAATTCCAGGCATACAAAGGCATGGCGGAGGGCAATCTTGCAGATGACCTGTCTGTGAAGGATGGGATCAGCACATACTTGAGGATGACGTAGAGCATGTTTAGAGGTATCGAGAATGCCACCCGGGTCTGACACCTCTGCATGTGGCCCTTGATTGTATGCATATGGGCACAGAGACTTTAATGGAGGTGTCAAGGGGGGGCTTAGGGAACAGGGCCAAGTGGAAACCCAATGAAGGTTCTTGATGAGAGCAGTTTCAACCTGACTCTTGCTTATGGCCATCTTCCCTCTCATTTGCTGATGCAGAGCGGAGGTGCCCTGATGGAAACATGGAACTCCCACACTGCTACTATGTTCAACAATGCCCAGGAGGGGCCCCGCAGTTTTAATCCTGCGCTAGGAATTCCCCAGTATTATGGAAAGCAGTGTACCCAATGCTAGACAGGAAAGTGCAGATCAATCAATAAGTTACACTGAATAATTAGTTACCT